ACCAGTGCGGGAGGCTCAGGTAAGACTTAACCCGACTGTGACCACCCCTCCTAACCCTTTGCCCTGGGACACCCCTGCAGCCTTTGAGGCTGAGACCAAAACTGATCCGACGCTCCAAAAATATAGGGAAAGGGCTGATACAGGGGCTGGGGGACCAGACCAGGAGACTTTTGCGTGGGAACAGGGCCGACTGTACCGACACACGGAGAAAAAGGGCCACCGGAGGAGACAGTTAGTAATACCCCACAAGTATAGGCGGGATATCCTCCGGGTGGGTCATGATATTCCCTAAGCTGGGCACCTGGCAGTAACCCGTACCCTGCACCGTATTACCCATACATTGTTCTGGCCAGGAGTACATGCAGATGTGAGGTCCTATTGTAATACGTGTGAGGTGTGCCAACGGGTAGGCAAACGAGGAGACCACCCCAAGGCACACCTCGTTAACATGCCCATTATCGATGAGCCATTTAGCCGGGTAACCATCGACTTAGTTGGGCCTCTAGCCACCCCTAGTGGCAAGAGATACATTATTACCATAGTGGACTATGCTACCCGCTACCCAGAAGCTGTGGCTTTATCTAATATCCAGGCAGACACGGTGGCTAATGCATTAGTGCAGGTATTCTCTTGGGTAGGATTCCCTAGGGAGATCTTATCCGACAGAGGATCACAGTTCACGGCAGAACTGACCCAGCAGCTATGGCACGTTTGCAAAATAAAATCCCTTCTTAGCTCCCCGTACCACCTCCAGACCAATGGGTTATGTGAGCGGTTCAACGGAACCCTCAAGCAGATGTTAAAAACCTTTACTCAGGAATATAGGGACTGGGAACGTTTCCTGCCGCACCTCCTGTTCGCTTACCGGGAAGTGCCCCAGGAAACCACCGGGTTCTCTCCCTTTGAGCTGTTATACGGTCGCAAGGTACGGGGTCCCCTGAACCTGATCCGTGAGCACTGGGAGGGAGAGACCGAGAACGCCGGGGTCCCCATCGTGCCTTACGTACTAGAGCTCCGGGACCGAATGGAGCAATTGGCTAAGTCAGTCCAGGCCAACCTCCAGGCGGCCCAGGGGCGACAGAAAGTCTGGTACGACCGGGGGGCACGGCGGAGAAGCTTCTGTCTCGGGCAGAAAGTCATGGTACTAAAACCAGTTAAGGCAGACAAGCTACAAGCAGCCTGGCAGGGACCCTACCAGATAGTAGAGAAGAGAGGAGACACCACTTATGTGATTGCCAGCTGTCACGATGAAAACTTAAGAAAGATATTTCACGTGAACATGTTGAAGGAATACTTGCAGAGACCCGAGGAAGTGTCAGCCATATGTAGCCCTGCACACGAGGACGCAGATAGTCTCCCCATACCCGACTTATTAACCCCTAACTCCCCGGTTGAAATAGTGAGCCAAGTACAGATCGGGGACAGACTTAGCCCAGTTGAGAGGGAGCAGCTACACAAACTGCTCCGAGAGAAACAAGCCATGTTCTCCCAAGAGCCAGGGTACACTGAGCTGACCACTCACCAAGTAGATACCCCGGGCCAAAACCCTTTGAGACAGGCGCCCTACCGAATTCCGGAGGCAGTAAGGACAAGCATGAAAAAGGAAATAGATGAGATGCTGCGACTAGGGGACATTGAAGCTTCCCTGGGCATCCCCGGTGGTTCTGGTCCCCAAAAAGGACGGCACCACCAGATTCTGTGTGGACTACCGGAAACTCAATGACAAAACTGTAACCGATGCCTACCCCATGCCCAGAGTGGATGAGCTGCTGGATCGCATAGCCAGGGGGAACTACCTAACTACCATTGACCTCTGTAAGGGTTACTGGCAAATTCCCCTGGCCAGGGAGGCTGTCCCCAAGTCGGCCTTCATCACCCCGTTCGGTTTGTACCACTTTAAAGTCATGCCGTTCGGGATGAAGAATGCCCCTGCTACATTCCAGCGCTTGGTGGACAGACTCCTTGATGGCTTCCAGGAGTTTGACTGCGCATACCTGGACGACATAGCGATCCATAGTGAGTCCTGGGAGGAACACTTGGCTCATGTGGGAATAGTCCTGGACCAGATTCGAGCCGCCGGTCTGACGCTCAAGCCAGAAAAATGTCACTTTGGGATGGCTGAGGTGCAGTACCTGGGCTACCAGGTAGGCTGTGGGAAGCAATGACCGGAGCCGGCTAAAATAGAAGCGGTCGCCAACTGGCCCACTCCACACACTAAAACCCAAGTGCTAGCCTTCTTGGGTACCGCTGGGTACTACAGGAGATTTGTACCCGAGTATAGCGCCATTGCCAAACCCCTGACTGACCTGACACCTACCACTCCCTGACTTATTAGTGAGGGACCCCCAGACCGACTTGACCAGCCTAGTGCAGCTAGCTGCACTAGGCTGGTCAAGTCGGTCTGGGGGTCCCTCTCTAATAAGCCCCTCAGAAAAGGAACAGGCTAAAGGGCTGTTATGGGAAAAAAGGGCGACCTTTTCTCAGGAACCGGGTTATACCACTCTAGCTGTCCATAAAGTAGAGACTCCTACCTACCTACCGTATCCCTGAGGCAGTCCGAGAAGGAATGCAAAAGGAAATACAGGAAATGACCCAGCTAGGGGTCATCAAGCCCTCCGACAGTCCCTGGGCTTCGCCTGTAGTCTTGGTGCCTAAGAAAGATGGAACCACCCGGTTCTGTGTGGACTACAGGTGCCTCAACGAGAAGACCACCACTATTAGACTGCATAGCCAGGGGACGCTATCTGACTACCATAGATCTATGTAAAGGTTATTGGCAGATTCCCCTGGCCGAGGATGCTATCCCCAAGTCGGCATTTGTCACTCCATTTGGTCTGTACCAGTTCAAGGTCATGCCTTTCGGGATGAAGAATGCCCCGGCTACTTTCCAGCGCATGGTGGATAGGCTCCTCGATGGCTTCCAGGACTTTGCGTGTGCATACCTGGATGACATTGCGGTCTACAGTGGGTCTTGGGAGGAGCAAGTAGGGGTGGTTCTGGATAAGATTAGGGCCGCTGGACTGACCCTTAAGCCAGAGAAGTGCCATCTGGGCATGGCAGAGGTACCGTACTTGGGACACAGGATAGGGTGTGGGAACCAGAGACCCGAACCGGCCAAAGTGGAGGCCGTAGCAAACTGGCCCACACCCCGAAACAAGACCCAGGTACTAGCCTTTTTAGGCACAGCGGGGTATTACCATCGTTTTGTACCCGACTATATTACGGTAGCCAAACCCCTGACGGACCTTGTGACGAGACCAATCTCGCCACATTGCATTGGAGAAGCCTGGTTGCTCGCCTGCTGCCTTTGGACTATGGCCCCCTTTTAAAAGACTTTATTTTTCCATGCAGAAAAGCCATATTCATGCTTTTCTGCCGGTTGTTCGGTAGTTTCAATCTACCGAACAACCGTACGAATGACTGGACCACCTGGGAGCTGGAGTGTGCCGGCAATTAACCTCCCTGAAGCTGCGGTTAACCGCAGCTTAATTGATGAACGCTGGGTGGCCGCCGTTCGTATCCCGAACACGAGGTCGCGGCCATTTTAAACCATACGAATGAACAGCGGTGTTCGCCTCTATTTTCATGGAACTAAAATCGGACACAGTTTTGCGCGAACACCGCTGAAGCCGCCGACCTCCCTTCTTGTTCGGTGAAAGCACACGAATGACCCGGTGTTCGGTATTTTTGTGTGAATGTCTTATACCCCAGATAGGAATCCCATGGAGCCCATTCGTATGAAACTGACTGTAAAGACTTTGGCTCCATGGCGATTGAACTGTATTCGTGTAGTCTGAGTGCCATTCACCTAATAATGTGCACTCAGACCTGAGCTATCTGGGGATGTGTTACATGCCTGTGTTTAATGTAGTAAATGTTACTTTGTGCATTTTAAAGTATAATGCTGTTTTGTGTTCCCACGTGTGTAATGGAGTTTTGCCTTTGTCTTGGGAGATAATTGAGTTACTTCCCAATTATCTCCCAGGGCAGAGGGGAGGAAGCCAGGATGCATTGTGGGAATATACTGTGACTGTGTGTCCTTTTTGTATACTTGTCTGTCCCTTGTCACAGTCTCCCATTTGGTCCCCTAGGGGAGTGTCCACCAGGTGGGAGACCTGCATAAAAGCTGGGCAGGTAGCCCTCATTAAACAGACCACTGCTTGACCCTCAACACGGAGCCTTGTCTCGTCTTTGGGGGGATTTACTGTATTCTGCTAAGGACTGATTGCCATGAGTGTAAGCCGCTTGGAAGCTTTTCCTGTTCGCCTGCTAGCAGCTATCCGTATGGTTCCTGTTCGTTTATTTGAAGTGCTACCTTATTCTCTTGTATGCCGTTCGGGAGTTTGGAGCATTCACTTTGTAACGGATCACCTGGCACCCCGACTGGGTACCTCCGTTGAAGGATACTCCTAGCGCTTCCTGAGGACTCCAAGCACTGCAGCAGACACCACAACCACCGAACCGGAGAAGCATATGAATCCTCTCAAGCATATGAATGCTGTAGACAGTTGAATAGGAACCATACGAATAGGTTTACTCTCCTAGCAGTCAAACTGGAACAGCATACAATAAATCCTTCCCCCAATAATGAGACGACACTTCACTTTGAGGGTTAAGCAGGAACTCTCTGTACTGTCACATACAGTCTCTTTTATTCCCAATCCACAAACATAGTACAGCCCACAGGGCGTTACAAAACAGCCAATCAATCCATACAATACACCCAGACACTCCCACACAAAATCCTCCCCTCTGGCTGTGATATGATTACTGAACACAATGGGTAATCTAATTATCACAGCCAGAGAAATACAGTTTCATAAAACACATCACAGGGACCCCAAAACATGCAATAACCCCATAAAAAGTACTGGGGGATCTGGGTGAACCACATATTCAAAATTCACCCAGATCCGTTCAGTACTTTGGAAAATACAGTCCAATGCAGATTCTGCAGAACATATACAGGCTAAATAAAAAACAATCACTGAATAATGTGTCCCCTGCTGTACAGTCCAAAACCACCGCACGATGTCTCTGTGCAACAAACACTGGCGAGATGGCACCGTGTTGAAAAGTCCACACAGTGTCTGTGAGTTAAAATGGCCGCCATCCATTGTTCTCACCATGTGCTTCTGATACAGGAAATGGTGGCCACCCAGTAACTCCACAGTATGTCCCCAGATGGTTCTTAAAAGGGCCAGCAGCAGCACAACACAAATCCATTATGCCCAAATCATGTCTTTAAAGGGAAATACATCCCAGGGGCCATAGTCACATTGCAGGAGGCTGGCAACCAGGCTTCTCCAGTGCATAGTGGCGAGGTTGGTTTCGCCACACACTTATTGGTGGTTCGTGGGTTTTGGTGATTCTACAGTAGCTGTGCCTGTCTCTGAAAGGGGGATTATCGTCTAAGCGTTTTTTTCCCCTTTTATGCTAAACGGTCCGTTACAGACCTGACCAAAAATAATCTTCCTAAACAGGTCCTGTGGTCTCCAGCTTGTGAAGCCGCGTTTACCGCCTTAAAGCAAGCCCTCGTGAATGCCCCCGTCTTGGCTGCCCCAGTACAAACGTTTTCTCGTCCATACAGACGCTTCCATGTTTGGACTGGGTGCTGTGCTAAGCCAGGTCGGGGAAGATGGTGGAGAGCACCCCGTCGCATACCTGAGCCGGAAATTACTACCACGAGAAGTGAGTTATGCGGCGGTGGAAAAAAAATGTTTGGCTCTTGTCTTGGCCTTTAAGAAGCTCACCCCCTACTTATATGGACAAGAATTTTCTCTGATCACCGATCACAACCCCTTGGTATGGCTTAACCGGGTTGCGGGGAAAACGGCAGGTTATTACGGTGGAGCCTAGCCCTGCAACCTTACAATTTTACCATCACCTATAGACCTGGCAAACACAATGGGAATGCTGATGGACTCTCACGACAGACGGAATTGACTTCAGCTCTTCAGTCCAGACATCCCCAAGTTGACCCGTTAAAGGATCAAACCGGGTTTGCCGGAGTGTCCCACAAGGAGGGACCGTATCGCTTGTTCGTTTATTTAATTTGTTTTTCTCGTTCCTGTGGACTCTATGGCATTCCCCTGTTTCTAACCGAACACACTGCCGAACGGCCGGCCACCCAGTAGAGGAGTGTGCTGCTGGTTAACCTCTTGGCCCAATTCAAACGTTCAGGATTAATCGCAGACACCTCGTAATTGATACAGCAGTTGGGTGGCCGCCATTCGAGTGTCGAACACGAGGTCGCGGCAATTTTAAAACACACAAACGCACAGCGGTGTTCGACGCCTATCTCATGCAACTAAAAACGGACACATTTTGGCACGAACACCGCTGAAGCCGCCGACCTTCCTTCTTGTTCGGTAGATTGGCACGAATGACTCTATATTCGGTGGATTTAAACAGAATACACCGTACCCCAGATAGGAATCCCATGGAGCCCATTCGTATGAAAACTGACTGTGTGAAAACTTTGGCTCCACGGCGATTAGACTGATTGTATATGATCTGACCGCTATTCGGTACTTTGGTGCGCTCAGATTCCAGCTATCTGGGGACCTGTGGAATGCCTATATAAATGTGTAAAATGTAACAGTTATAATATTTTATGTGTTTGTATGTACTTTTTTTTGTGTTCAGTGCTTTCTAACACGGAGTGGCTGCCTTCGCATTCGGTAAGGGAACGTCTCATGCGGCTGTAACCCCTTGCATACCGGGGGAGCCGTAACAGACCCCATTCGGTAGGTGAATTAATTCCCTTTGTAAAGGCACTCCCGAACAGGGAGTGGGCACATTATTCAATGGGATGGGGAAACACACATAATAATCAAAAGGCAAATCACAGACAGGCAGCAGTCCCACCACACAGCTTTCCAATAACCACAAGCCAGCATACACAGTCTGATCCCAATGAATAGGCTTGGGGATATATAGGGGGAGTGCTCACAGGTCACTTCTCTAGGGCTGTCTGTCTGGACCACCCGTCGGCATTCCCGTTTTGTTAACTAGGTCTATAATGAATTGTGAAGTTGTAGTTCTGTAGGGCCAGGCTCCACCGTAACAGCCGGGCATTGTCTCCAGATGGTTAAGCCATACCAATGGGTTGTGATCCGTGAGCAAGGTGAATTGCTGTCCATAGAGGCAGAGCTGCAGATTCTTGAGGGCCCACACCACCACCAGGTACTCCTTTTTGATGGTGGTGCAGCTTACCTCCTGGGCCAATAGCTTCCTGCTGAGGTAAGCCACGGGATGTTCTCTGCCATCGACCCTGACCTGGCTAAGCACCTCTCCTAATCCAAACCTGATTAGACAAGAAAATGACAAGAAAATGTTTTTTTCAGATTAGAAGCAGCCAGGACAGGAGCATTTACCAAGGCATCCTTAAGGGCTTGGAATTCCTACTCACACTCTGGGGTCCAGTTTACCTGTCTGGGCAAGGTCTTTCGGGTCACATTGGTGAGGGGCTTAGCTAGGGCGCTGTAATTGGGGACAAACTTCCTATAATAGCCAGCAGTCCCTAGGAAGGCCATCACCTTGATGTTGGTGCGGAGATGGGGCCAACTGGCTACTGTCTCAACCTTGGCTGGATCAGGCTTCTGCTTTCCACACCCCACCCAGTGTCCTAGGTTGCACTTGCTGGGATTTAGGGTTAGTCCTGCCTCCCGAATCCTGTCTAGTACAGCTCTTACCAGGGTAGGTGCAAGGATTCTTGCCGCTCTAGGCAACAATCCATTTTGCCACCCCCTCATGAATGCAACTACATTCCATTTAGATGTTTATTCACTAAACTCTGAATTACAGAGAAGAGACATTTAGGGAAAGAGATGCACTGAGTAGGCATTAAAGAGAAACTATAGCGCCAGGAAAACAAACTTGTTATCCTTGCACTATAGCTTCCACCTTTGTCAAGCACACCTCCCTTGTTGTGCAGAAGGGGTTAAACCCCTTCTGTCACTTACCTGGGTCCAGCATCAACTTCTTTTGTGCTGGCTTGGGTCCGCCTTTGCTCCTTAATGGTCGCGCTTGCAGTGGTATTTCCATGACGCTAGGTTTTGTCCCCCCCATGCATAGCCAATAGAGGAGTTAACGTTAACCCAAGACAGTAATTTAAAAAGTTTCTTAAAAATTGCAATAATTACATTTGCAGTGTCACTTACACAATCTCACTAATACACACACTCTCTCACTAGCATACACACTTACACATTCTAAGTAATCTACACACTCTAACACACACACATTCTTACTGGCATACACAGTGTCACTTGCACACTCTCACTGACATACATAGTGTCCCTTACACACTCTCACTGACATACAGTGTCACTTACACACTCTCAATAACACACACACACACACTCTCACTGACATACATAGTGTCCCTTACACACTCTCACTGACATACAGTGTCACTTACACACTCTCAATAACACACACACACACTCTCTCACTAACCTACACATTGTCACTTGCACACTCTCACTGACATACACAGTGTCACTTGCACACTCTTAGTGACATACATAGTGTCACTTGCGCACTCTCTCACACACACAGTGTCACTTGCACATACTAACAGTGCCACTTGCACACTCTCACACACACACACACACACAGTGTTATTTGCACATACTAACAGAGTCACTTGCACACTCTCCCTAACACACACACTGTCAGTCAAACACAAACTCACACCACTCTGCATAAAGTCACACTTTATTTACACACACAAACACAGTAATTTAACACACACACACACACCAATTTACAAGCATGCATACAGGGAGTGCAGAATTATTAGGCAAGTTGTATTTTTGAGGATTAATTTTATTATTGAACAACAACCATGTTCTCAATGAACCCAAAAAACTCATTAATATCAAAGCTGAATATTTTTGGAAGTAGTTTTTAGTTTGTTTTTAGTTATAGCTATGTTAGGGGGATATCTGTGTGTGCAGGTGACTATTACTGTGCATAATTATTAGGCAACTTAACAAAAAACAAATATATACCCATTTCAATTATTTATTATTACCAGTGAAACCAATATAACATCTCAACATTCACAAATATACATTTCTGACATTCAAAAACAAAACAAAAACAAATCAGTGACCAATATAGCCACCTTTCTTTGCAAGGACACTCCAAAGCCTGCCATCCATGGATTCTGTCAGTGTTTTGATCTGTTCACCATCAACATTGCGTGCAGCAGCAACCACAGCCTCCCAGACACTGTTCAGAGAGGTGTACTGTTTTCCCTCCTTGTAAATCTCACATTTGATGATGGACCACAGGTTCTCAATGGGGTTCAGATCAGGTGAACAAGGAGGCCATGTCATTAGATTTTCTTCTTTTATACCCTTTCTTGCCAGCCACGCTGTGGAGTACTTGGACGCGTGTGATGGAGCATTGTCCTGCATGAAAATCATGTTTTTCTTGAAGGATGCAGACTTCTTCCTGTACCACTGCTTGAAGAAGGTGTCTTCCAGGAACTGGCAGTAGGACTGGGAGTTGAGCTTGACTCCATCCTCAACCCGAAAAGGCCCCACAAGCTCATCTTTGATGATACCAGCCCAAACCAGTACTCCACCTCCACCTTGCTGGCGTCTGAGTCGGACTGGAGCTCTCTGCCCTTTACCAATCCAGCCACGGGCCCATCCATCTGGCCCATCAAGACTCACTCTCATTTCATCAGTCCATAAAACCTTAGAAAAATCAGTCTTGAGATATTTCTTGGCCCAGTCTTGACGTTTCAGCTTGTGTGTCTTGTTCAGTGGTGGTCGTCTTTCAGCCTTTCTTACCTTGGCCATGTCTCTGAGTATTGCACACCTTGTGCTTTTGGGCACTCCAGTGATGTTGCAGCTCTGAAATATGGCCAAACTGGTGGCAAGTGGCATCGTGGCAGCTGCACGCTTGACTTTTCTCAGTTCATGGGCAGTTATTTTGCGCCTTGGTTTTTCCTCACGCTTCTTGCGACCCTGTTGACTATTTTGAATGAAACGCTTGTTTGTTCGATGATCACGCTTCAGAAGCTTTGCAATTTTAAGAGTGCTGCATCCCTTTGCAAGATATCTCACTATTTTTGACTTTTCTGAGCCTGTCAAGTCCTTCTTTTGACCCATTTTGCCAAAGGAAAGGAAGTTGCCTAATAATTATGCACACCTGATATAGTGTGTTGATGTCATTAGACCACACCCCTTCTCATTACAGAGATGCACATCACCTAATATGCTTAATTGGTAGTAGGCTTTCGAGCCTATACAGCTTGGAGTAAGACAACATGCATAAAGAGGATGATGTGGTCAAAATACTCATTTGCCTAATAATTCTGCACTCCCTGT